ATTTTCTTTTTTATTTCTTTTTTTATATCTTCGTAATGAGTTTGTTAAAAAAAAATTTACCGTTTGAAAATTTTAGAATGATTTTTCCTTTATTTTCTAAAAGTAAAGCCAACTGAGAGTTGGGTTAATCTCTTTGTAAATATGCACATGGTTGAGGTCAAGTATCTGTGTGATATTTTAGTCTTATACATCTGAATGGAATTAAAAAAAAAATTGAGTTTACGGAACCTATTTTATATCTCAAACTTTATTTAAAAATTTTTCAAGTCGGGTGAAATTTATGAAATTTGAGTCGAGTTGTCCGAATTTATGTTTTTTTAAACGATTCCTACGCAGGGGAAGGGGAAAGAGAAGGTAGAATTTTACTCCTAATAAATATTGAACTCACAATCTAGGGGAGAAGGGTGGTGTCTACTAAAAGCTTTTAACTATCTGCTCTAAAGATTGTTAGTAGTTTTTATATAAATTTAGATGTAAATATTTATAATGTTATAGTATTAATATATTATAATTTAAACAACTTTATGTAATCATATACAAGATACATATAAATTTCTTCATATTTTTTATATATGATATACATATATCATACAGAGTCGAGGAATTCGACTTGAACTTAAAAATTAATCTACCAATTACGAAAAATTTTGAATTATTCTATTCCTATTTTATAACTCAACTTGAATTTTATATTTTTAGTTGAATTTTTTTATCATCGAATTAGTCGAATTTTATTCGTCCCTAACGCAAGTCGAATTGGACAATCCAGTTTATTATAAGAAGCTATTAAAATATATTCTTTTAATTCTATTTGTAAACTAATATTAATAAATGTTATTAATTAAATTTAAGCGATTTTATATCATTAAATGTTAGTTAAAACCTCAAATTTAGGGTAATTATGTGGTACACCTTAGTAATTTAAGTTAAAAGATGACGAAAATGGACGAGACTGAAAATATTATCAAAAATCATTATATTTTAGGTTAGATACAACTTAAAATGTTATATTTTTAATAATATTTTCAGTTGAACCAAAATTTATCTTCTTCATAACATTTTCGGTTGGCAAATGACAACCGAAAATATTATATTTTTTGTAAAATTTTAAGTTGTAACAAAAAACGTTATAAAGAATATAATATTTTAAATTACATATAATCTAAAATGATATGCTTGTTCATAACATTGTCAGTCATTTCTATTTCTTATGTTTTCTAACCTTAAATTAAATTAAATTAATATTTTTAGACTTTCGTCTAAATTTATATTGATTTTCCTGGCCGAACATTGCCTCAGTTATGAGATATGTTTGTTGGGTGAAATTGGGTAAGACTGAAAATGGGGCAGAAAAGAAACAAGAGTAAGAATTGGGGTGGTTTATGGTTTCCCCAAGTATTTGCCGAGTCATTCCCGCATGTAACCATAGTGCAAGTTGGGCCTTCACTTTCTACAATGGCGAGAAAGCAAGATTCAATATATCCCCACCCACTTTGCTCTAAAATTCTTTTATCTATCAAATCCGGAACACCCAACCAACATAGCAATGTGTAGTTGCTTCACCCCTTAGCCTTTTCCCTTTTCTCGTGGTTTGGTTTTTGATTTGACAGATTAGAACCTAGAAGGATCTATCACCTCAATATAGGGATGGGCATGGGTGGTTTTTTTTTTTTTCGTCTAACATGACATGAGAATAAAGAATCCTCTATCCGATATCTGATTTGATCTGACCAAAATAAGATTTCATCTTATCCGAACCTGACTCGATATATAATTTAAAAACTCAGTCTGAAATAAAAAAAATATTATTATTTAATAAAAATAGTAACTTAATTGAAAAAAATATATAGAGACAAATATTATTATAATTATTTCTAAATATATAAGATAAATTATATATTTTTCGGGTCGGATTGAGTATTTTTCACCCTAAACCCGAACTTGACCTGACCCGAACATCACATTTAAAAAAATTCGACCAGACCCGAATCTAATTTTTTTTGAAAAAAATCTGATCCGATCAGATCAGATTTGAGTCCCATGCCCATCCCTACCTAGACATGAACAATGGTAAAACTTCAAAAGACCGTAAATCTAATCCTAATCATACTTACATGAGGGAGAAAAGGAGGATATTAAAGAAGGGAAGGAGAGTATTCTTGGGTCTAGAATTAATGAGTAGTTTGACAAACCGACTAAATATGCTTGCTCCATAAGAGTGTAGTTTAACAAATTTCAAATCTAATTCTAATCTTACTTAGAGGGGAGAGGAAAGAGAATTCTAAAAAAAGGAATGGGATTACTCCTACTGAGTCGAGAACTCATGACCTAAAGGCATATGAGGGAACAGAGAAAATTAGTTTAACCAACCGATCAAATGTGTTTACTCCAAAAGAGTGTAATTTAAAATCATAATTTTATCTCGAACCTTGAATTTTGAACCCTAAACTTAAATTATAAACCTTAAACTCTAAACCTTGAACCAAACCAATTATTAACAACATAAAAAAGGTGAGCACAAATAAAGTTTCAGTTAGACATCATCAATAAAATAAGTAATTAATTTTAAAATCAAAATTTGAATCCTTAACCATGAACTATGAATCCTAAATCTTGAACTCTGAACTAATATTAACAACATAAAATAAGATAAGTATAAATAAAATTTCATGTAAACATCATTAGTAAAATAAGTAATTAATCGAAGAAAATTCAAATATCAAGATAGACATGTGCTCACTCTTATATTATTATGGATTTTTCACTGAAAATTATATTAATTGGTAAATAAATTATGTCATATCTATAACATTTTTTCAAATTTTAAAGTAGGGGTTAGAAAGATGCAACGAAAGTGAAGAAGAAATTGAAATGGAAAAAGGAAGACAAAGGTTTGTAATTTCAAGGTCAGCATCCCATGTGATATCAACTTTACACGCAAAAAACTTAATATATTCTTTGATCCAACGTTTCATCCATCCCAACTTTCTTTGTTTCTTTTTTTTATCCAAAATGGTATATCTTTTCCATTTCCATGCATAACTATATAATTTTGACAAATATACCAAAATAATTTTGGATACAATACAAAGGCAGTACACATACGTGCATGTTTACTGATTTCTGCTGTTTTTATCTGATAGAAAATAATTATGACATGTAAAGAATAAATTATTATATAGATTCGACGCATCGCGTTATTTATAGTCTCAATCAATAAGAATTATCTATCTCAAAATAACTTCTAAATAATTATCTACTCCTTAACGTAGGAAAAAATATGAAGATTCCCTTCAAATGAGATATATAAATTTTATTAGTTGGAACCACAAATGATTTAATAAATTTGGTCTATGTAATAATTTTTCCATGTAAAGATAGATTCTATGAGAAGAAAGAAGTAACATGAAACATGGGAATTTAACGCAAAAGGAGACAAAACTGAAGCAGTTAAAAAGTGTAAAATAAAAAGCTGAAATGAGTGGACATTGTCTTCTCCTCCATGTGTATCCAACCGAAAGCTAGGCTAACAGTTACGTAGAGCTTTCATGACCAGTAAGGATCATTCATCCGACAAAAACTAATGCTACCTCCAAATAGACCAAACACATGACGTTATGTGACCCTAAACTCTTTGAGGGCCATTTTTCCTTTGTAGGTGGAAAACCAAAGAAAAACTAACCCCATTTTCAATAATAATTAATCATCAAGATCTTACCCTAAAAAATACCTCCAAAGTTAAAAAAAATGAAATAATAGAAGAGTTTATCGGCATATACGTTATAGACGTTTCTGCTTAAATTCAAAACCTCTATAAATAACAATATTTCATTTCTTTTATATATAAATAATAGGGTAAAGTACACAAATTATCTCCCGACTATAAGACGTTACTTTGTTGAGTCCTTTAACTATTAAAAGTTACAAAATGGTCCTTTGACTATATGAGATTGCTTTGTTGAGTCTCTCGACTATTAAAGGTTACAAAATAGTCCAATGATTATAGAGCTTTTTTTTTGTTGAGTCTCTCGACTATTAAAAGTTACAAAATGGTCACCCAACTATTCATATATATGTTCCAAGCTCGTCCTGTTTGGGTAAAAAAATTGAAGGTCATCTGAGCTGGACGTTAACATGTTGACTAAGATATGATAGTCGTTTGAGATTCTGGGATCAGATTTTAACATATCTCAGTCAGCAAGTTAATGTTCATCTCATACTATTGTCAAATTTTTAATGGAAAAAAACGAGTTTGAAACATATAAATAGTCAAATGATCATTTTTACAACTTTTAATAGTCAGTGGACTCAACAAAGCAACGTCCTACAATCGAATGATCATTTTGTAACTTTTAATAGTCGAGAAACTAACAAAACAACATCATATAGTCAAGATACCATTTGTGTACTTTACCCTGAATAAAAACCGTAAAAGAATTATATAACAGGTATGAATTCCAACTTCAATTCCTTTAATTACATCTCTTAAAAATAGTTAAACAACAATCATTTAACTGATGGAGGTGGATCATCATCATTAGTGCAAACGAGTAGGAAAGAGAAAGGTTTAGATAGCTGACAAAGCATGTGAGCTGGCGGACCAAATGACACACCCCCACCAAAGAATCCAAGGTAAAACTCCAACTTGTCTGACAAATCACCACCTCAGGAAACTGAACCAGTTGGGATTTAAATAGCGGTTTAAAATTATAATAATACCTACTATATAATCATAGTAATATCGTTTGATACCACTATTATTATATGATTACAATACTTGTAATCACTGTAAACATCTATTATATTTGTAATCACAATAAATATAATACAACCAAAAATACGACCGTAATAATTATTTAAATCTCTACCCAAAATCGGTGGATGATGGAAGTATTGCAATATTATGGTCAATTTGGTTATCATTTAACTTTTACTCACCCTTTCACCACCCATCTTCTCTATAAATCCGCCAAATCTGCTCCACTGGCTTTCGTCCTCTATTTTTCCTTAACATCTTGCTGGGAGATTGGAAAGATTTCCAAAAGAAATATTAAACTAAGAGGTTCTTTGTATGCTAAGTGGCACTACATGTGCGGTGGAATCCCATTGTTTGCTTTTAATATTAACCCCACCGTCCATCCCATCACCATCTCGCTCTCTTCTATATATATAAAAACTACTCTACTACTACCACTGCTTAACTAAGTACCAATCCTCTCCCTTTTCCTTCTTCTTCTTCGCCTCTACCTGACTTTGTTTAAGTTCATTCATAGAGGAAATGGGTGAGGAAACTAAGCAGGTGAGAGATAATTTGTATGATTCAATGTGGGTTGTTTCCGAGTAATTTATTTTGGCATTAACTGGAGATGTTTTGCAGGAACAACCGCCGGCAGAGGCCCAACCAGAAGAGAAAAAGAAAGAGAAGGCAGAGGAGAAGCCGGCGGAAGAAAAGAAAGAGGAACCACCAGCACCGCCTCCTCCTCCTCCTCTTGTCTTGTTTGTGGACTTGCATTGTGTGGGATGTGCAAAGAAGATTGAGAAATCCATCATGAAGATTAGAGGTAAACTATATATTAATCCATATAAATTAAGTGGTACATATACATAAATCAACAAATAAAAATATACTCAAATGGTTAGCAGGTGTGGAAGGAGTGGTGATGGATATGGCTCAAAACCAAGTGACAATCAAGGGAATAATCGAACCCCTAGCAGTATGTGCTAAAATCATGAAGAAAACCAAAAGAAGAGCTAAAGTATTATCCCCTTTGCCTGCAGCTGACGGTGAACCTATACCAGTAGTTGTTGCCTCACAGGTTTTATTCAACGCCTTATAACTTCACCCCCAACACTACATATATAGGAGTTTACATTAACGGTAGTAATTGGTTCATTATTCCAGGTTAGTGGATTAGAAACCGTGGAGCTTAACGTCGACATGCATTGCCAAGCCTGTGCTGAGCAGCTGAAGAGAAAGATACTAAAAATGAGAGGTACCCTTTGGCCACTTAGCCAGCTAGAAGCTAGCGATAATTCGTGACTGTGATTGACCAACTGCATGTATCCCATAGCCGACAATGGCGGTGGGGTCTTATCAACGTGACAATTAATTACACGTTATGAACATATTACAGGCGTACAGAGTGCGGTAACAGAGCATAGCACCGGGAAAGTTACAGTGACGGGCACCATGGATTCAGACAAGCTAGTGGATTATGTATATAGACGCACGAAAAAGCAAGCGAGGATCGTGCCACAGTCGGAGCCTGAGCCTCAACAGGAACCGGAGAAACAAGAAGAAAAGAAAGACGGTGAAGAGAAGCCGATGGAAGAAGCCAAACCCGAAGAAAACGCAGAGAAAAAAGAAGAAAATCCGCCAGAAGAAACAGATAAAAAGGAAGCTGGTGGTGAAAACAAGGAAGAGGAGAAGAAAGAAGAAGAAGGCAACAATTGCAGCTATAATATCATTAACGAGGAGGAATCCATGAACAGAATGATTTACTATTACCAGCCCCTTTACGTAATCGAGCGAATGCCGCCTGCTCCTCAACTATTCAGCGATGAAAATCCCAACGCCTGCTGCATTTCATAGTCGTCGTCGTCATCATCAAATGATAACAAACTTTATAGCTATGTTTTCGTTTCTCTTTTTTGTTACGCTCCTTCAAATATTTTAGTATATGGTGGAGAAGTATATACTATATAGTTATATGTATAAATTAATGTTGAGTCCTTACCGCTGGAGATGAGAGTTTTAGAGAAATCTGGTGGACCGTTCTCACATCGATCTGGGAATGTGGGGAATGAGATCATTGTACGACCGAGTTGATTAATAAAAGAGAAAATAATTTCAGTGATTAAAAATGCCTTATAATATACAATTTTAATCAATTTTTTTTTGGATTTGTGAAAATGACCAACAAATTCGCAACGCGAACTCCAATTTCGTAACTCAGTTTCCAAATTCACAACGCGAATTTGTAATTCGTAACACAGAAGTCAAATTCGCAAAGCGCGTTTATTTTCGCAACACGAATTTTATTTTCGAATTCGAAAAACAATATTAATTTCGCAACACAAATGTAAACAATATAATCGCAAATCATAACCTAAAACCCTAAATCACAACTCAGTCTCATCTCCATCTCTCACTCTCTACAGCGACATCTGTCCCCATCTCCGACGAAATTCGTCTATCTCCATCTCTCAGAGCTACCCTCACAACCATTCACGGTCAGAAATGGAAAATCAATCACCGAGGGTTAGTTTTTTTAATTATTTTTATTTTGAAATTTTTGTATTATTATTAGATTTTTCATATTTAAATTGATGATAAATTTACTGGTAATTTCAATAATAGATTAACCATTTCACTTAGATTGCTTAGTAAATTCATTCAGTTGCTGCCAATACTGTTAAACTGTTTAGTCTGTAACCATGTGAAGTTAGTATTTGTCTTTGTTTTGTCTTTTGGTTGAAGTAATGCAATTCATTCAATTTTCAATTTGCAGAAGACTATTTGAAACTTAAATTCGCAACACGAAAATGAAAATCGCAATGCAAAAATGAAAATCGCAATGCGATTTTAGTTTCGCGTTGCGATTTTCATTTTCGCGTTTTTATTTTAAGTTTCAGAAACTATTATTCTTCTGCAAATTGAAACTTGAATGAATTGCATTACTTCAACCAAAAAACAAAGACAAATACTAACTTCACAGTGTTGCGAATTTAAGTTTAAAAAATAAACTACTACTCTTTATGTTGTCCTTGAACCTGTACTAAACCTATATGTTATCCTTTTAAATGTTTATATAGGTGCTCTTTTAAATGTTTATATAGGTGCTTACTTCTGGAATGTTATCTGATGCATTTTGTGAACTATGATAGAATAATGACTTAGGTGAATACCGTGCAAGTTTGAAACATATTTGGCTTTGTTTTCACTGTTTAATATCATGTCTGTTTATAGTGTATAATTTGTAGTTTTTGGTATATCTAACTTGGTATGTTTATTGTTTTTGTAGAAATTTTTTTCGGCTTCATTGACCTTAAGGAATAAATTAAGCCTAGTCACTACAATTGCGTCGATGCTTACACTTGTACAAAGAAAATTGTTTGAAGATACTTGCTTCGGGCCATGGCTGAAAGTACAACATCTAGGTGGAGATGCTATGTTGACCCATTTGTTTCTTCAGACCATGACTAACGATCTACCCGAGAGGATACAACGTGGTGATGAAGAGATATGGTTTCATTTTCCTCCAGCGTATACTTGTTTTGGGCGGGAGGAGTTTTGCTTAATCACTGGTCTACGCTTCAGATACGATAAAGTAGGTCGGTACACTAGTCATATCGCCCGGCCATCATGGTTATCTCGAGTTTTTCCTGAGCTGGCAAAGGCGAAGCCGAGTTTACACGTCAACGACTTGAAAAGATTACTTGTTAAAGATGGTTTTACTCGGATGGATGACCTCGATGTTGTCCGAGTATGCCTTTTATTACTTTTGCATGCCGGCTTTTTAGGCAAAGAGGCCAAACAACCTATTTCTGAGGATCTAATATTATTGGTAGAGGACCTAAATGCATGGAACGTGTTTCCGTGGGGTTCATATCTATGGAAAACTACATGGAAAAAGTTGTCGTCTGCCTTTGAGGACCGAAAAAGTTTGCGTGGCCATGGTTCCAAATACACTTTGGCATGCTTTATTTGGGCCTTTAAGGTAAGAATTTCTATATAATGCTTCCAAAATTATAATTAATTTTTTAATAATTACTAATGTTTGTGTATTATATTGTTTGTAGATTTGGATATTTGAGGCTTTTCCCAGCATGCGGACATATGCAATCAAAAATTCAAATGATATTCCTAGGGCTATTTCCTGGAGAAGGATCCGACTGTTGGATTGGGAAGAGTTACTACCATATACGACGATGAATGATGTAAGTTAACACAAATACTACCATATATAAACAAGTTATTACTAGTAGACGTTTAACTTTGTTTGAGCTTTTATATTGTTAGGAGGCCAACCATCCATTACAGAGGCTGACACCCATAAAGGCTGAGCTTGCTACTGATTGGTGGCAAGCTAGTAAGCGTTTTTTTGATGGCACAGATGATGAGCACCCCCCACTTCGAGAGCCATCACCTGATCGAACCGATTCTACAGCTCGACACCTAGAGCCATCACCTCCACAACGAGAGCCATCATCTATTCCATCACATCATCGAGCCTCTTCTCCGCCATCACCTCATGATAGACGACCGACAAAGATGCCACGACATTTATCTCATTGTTCTCCACCTCCACAGGATGAGTTAGGGGAGTTACGTGATGAGGTAATGCTTTGCGTGAGGAGGCCAGTACTTTACACAATTGTGCATGGCGTGATGAGGTACGGTCTTTACGTGGTGAGGTAGAGGTTTTACGCAATGACAATGGTGCTTTACGTGGTAAGGTATATACTTTACGTGATGAGGTAGCCGCTCTACGTGAGATTGTTGCATCGTTGCAGAATGAGGTTCATACTCTACGCAATGAGGTAAGTTTGCTTAATACTATACTAAAAATGCAAATAACCTTTTTTCGGCATTATTTATTTTTTTATTTACTGATTTATGTATTAATTTATTTTTACCGGCCCGATAAGGTAGATTCTTTACGTCGTGTTTTTCTTGCACGACAGGGTTCATGCATCAGACGTCGTGCACGTGCCAGTACGTCTCCGTTCACCTCAATAGTGCCAAGACTCCATAAGAAGATGCCTGATTCACTTGTCATCGTTCAAGAGGCCTCTCCTATCGTTCAAAAGGCCCATATCATCCTTCAAGAGGCCCCTCTCACCGTTCAAGAGGCCCCTGTCATCGTTCAAGAGGTCCCGCCCACCGTTCAAGAGCCCGATTCATATGGCATAATACGTCGACATATTGATAAACCCCCTCACGTACCCAACATGATGGATGAGAGTTGGCTTTCATATGAGTTATCGGTCAGTACCATTCCGGTATCTGAAGTGGAGAGGAGAACACTACCGGACACAATTCTGGATAATACCCTTTGGGCTAAGACCACAGTTGATTTTTACCTACATGAGAGGAGCCAGGGGTGTTACGCTGACATATGCAAACTCGACGATGATATGCATTTGTTTCTTGATCGGTCTTGGTGGGGTGTGTTATTAGGGGTTGAAGACAATGGCTATTTCGAATGGGGGGTAAGTCTTATATTCTTCTTATATTGCATTTTGATTAATTTTTTTTAAATTTATGAAATTCACTAATATATGTATTTTTTTATAAAACAACATATTGATGAATGGGTGTCACGTCTTTTGATAGTAAGGAAATTGAAGAAAATAAAAAATACGCGATGGACTATTATGCCGACGTCTTTTCACGTAGCTCACTTGAAGGATCAGAGAGACACTTCATATGTGTTGGGTAATGGAAAAGCTAAACTTTATCCTGCATGGTGGGAGGTCGATAAGGTTAGTATTTATTTTTGAATATTTTAAAGGTGTTCATAAATAAAAATTTATGTGCACAATTGAATTATTATTTATGGTTGCAGGTGTTTATCCCTATTTTGGAACGTCGTCATTGCCTTCTCATCGAGCTTTAGCTCCCATCCCTGAAGGCAATTGTATATGACAACATGTTGAATTACATACCACTATCTGATTTGAGAGATATTATTTGTAAGGTATTGAGCACTCATTTGGCTAAATACTTGGATGCGATTGATTATTGGACTAATTCTGGAAACAATAAGCCAAAAAAGTTCAAAGTTACAATGATCAGTGACGAGACCACGCCATAACAAACAGAGGGAGCCAGAGGGGATTATGGTCCTCTTGTATGCATGTGCTTGGAACGTTTGACGACAGGAAGTAAACAGTTTCTACCTCCCACAGATAGAGATAGAGGTGCAGTAGGGTTGTTGTTTCAACATTTTATGGCTCGAGCGATATATGCGAGACGTTGCCTACCTGCATCCGCGTGCTGAAAGTGTGCATAAACAATTGGTAAGTTTGAGCAAGTGTTGTTAACATATATACTCTTTGTTGGTTTGAAAATGTTTAGTTAAGTACCTAGAATTCAATAATTTGCTATTTGTTGGTTTTAGATGTGTAGAAAATGTTGTTTTAGCAAATGTTTGGTTTCTGCAGGTTAATCCTGAAGTGAGCTGCGTGAAATTGATGTATTTATGCATAAACAACTGTCTGGGGTACACTTTGTTTTCTTGTTTAATTGATTTGTAAAAGTTGATTTGTTTAATTAATGAGGAAATAAGAATTATTTTTGCTTGTTTAATTGATTTGTAAAAGTTGATTTGTTTAATTGATGTGTAAATAATTCATATTTTTTGCTTGTTTAATTGATTTGTAAAAGTTGATTTGTTGTTTTAAATTTCAATCTGCATTATGTTGAAGGAAAAAAAACCTGTTGAAGGTACACTTTCGCAACGTGAAAGTCAAATTCGCAACGCGAAAGTCAAATTCGCGTTGCGATTTTCGCGTTTCGAATTTGACTTTCGCAACAATCACAACGAGAAAATCGCAACGCGAATTTGACTTTCGCAACAAAAAATCGCAACGTGAACTTGACTTTTGCGTTGCGAATTTAAGGAAAACACCTTCAAAAAGATAACAGACAACAATCTGATAAGTAATAACAACTGAACAGATCATAGCAATGTTCAAACTCAAGTTACTAATGAATGTCTAACTGAAATATATGCATTCACACATAAAATACACATAATACAACGTTTGCATTTAAAAATCACCTAAGTTAATAAGTCCCAAAAGGTGAAACCGGTTGTGGTTAGGATTTTGATTTTGATTGCGTTTTTGAT